TTTGTTTAACTATATAATATAGATTATGCACATGAGCAGCAATCACTTTTTCACTGTTAAATCTCTTACCCGCTTTCATTCCTTCCTGCCAAGCCAGAGTACCTAAAACTCCCAGATCAGTCCAATCAGGTTCCAAATGCTCCTCAACTTAAAAAAAACAAAACAAACCCACACCAATAAATGTTGGGCTGAAACAACGGATAATAAATAGGCTGTGACCTGCAATGCAAAGTCATAGTCAAGGTGCTAACATCTAAAAATAGAAAAAAATATATTAAGGCACCCTTGACTATTAATGTACATGGTGCCACTAATTAAAAAAAAATAATCAAGAGAAATATTTATTAAGACACCCAGAGCTGAAATGCTATAACTAAGTCAACTCAATTTCCCCTTCAAAATTCCTTTCCCCCTTCCATTCAGATTGTATTTACAAACTGGAGAGGGCTCATTTTTTTCCTTGTGTCATTTCATTATTACAGAGTTGAGATCACTAGCCATCTGCAGCTTCATTTCATCAAGCTCTGATTTGTCCTTGGAGCAAGGTCATCTGGGACAAGAACATAAAATGCCGCTTTCTAGTACTGACAGTTCTTTATGCCTTCCTGTAAATATCCCCACTAATTTTAAATAATTTCACCACTTCAGACTTTTCCCCCCACCTCCAAACAGGCTGATGTACAAATACATGAACAAGGATCTCATTATTTAACCACTGTATGACACACTCTAAAAGCAATTAATGGTGTTTATTTGTAGATAACTGAAGCCTTTCAAGCTATAGCTCAGGAATCCTTGGTAGCTTCATGTGACTTGGAGGATATTAGCTATGGGTCAGGAATTGGGACCCCCCCCATTCAGCATTAACATATGCTTGGAGCACCTCCATATTCCATCAAGTAGAACCCCCCCCCCCCCCCCCCCCCCAAAAAACCAAAACCCCCCCCCCCCCCCCCCCCCGTCAATGCACAAAAATTACCAGATGCATAATATATCCCTATGGTGGGTGCGGTGCTAATAAAGCATCACTGGGTGAATATGGGTTAGTTTATGGAAATAAAGAGACTGGGAAGGAAGGATTTTCAGATGCATAACAGAAAATTCCAAGCTAAAAATTAATAGGAAATTAACATGGATTTTTTTCCCAAATCAGCTCTGATTTGCCATCAGTTCTGGGGCACCTTCTCCTGAACAGAGACCACAGCTCTAGATTGCAAAACCACACAGGGCAAATTAATGTAAGAGTCCTGATCAGTACAAATCATAAAGCAAAAGAGAGTAATTAAATAACAGGGGAATCAGCACTAGCTCTTGGGGGTCTTAATTCCTAGCTCCCGACAGCATACACTGGCATCAGCAGCACACTGACGGGTGCAGATTCTGATCTCAAACTCGCAGTGAGCATCGCTGTGTATCTGGGAAATTCAGCTACCGGGCTTGTGGACTTGTGTACTGGATTCTGAGGTATGCTCTGATGTGCATGGCAATGTGGCTCACAAAGACTATTTGGATGCCTTACCTTTCTGGCTTTCTGTAACCAATAAGTCTGCCTGTAAATACAGGCATACTATGCAGGCTTGGTTTGAAACTTTGGCCTGCAATTGCTCATGTGTGCAAGTACCACAGTTATGTGCACAAGTGTCTAACTGCTTTATTTGCATATGCAAATACCCTGCTGGATCCACAAGTGGGGGATCTGCTCATGCAACTGTATGCATGCATAATGTCAGAGGCAAGGTTTGAACATTTGTTTAACTACACACTGGCTGTAATTTTTCAATGATACCTAAGGGAATTAGGCACTCCGTTGCCATTGTAATTCAATGGGTGTCAGACCCTTAACTCCTTTACCTAACTTATAAAATAAAGGAAAAAATGGTTTGGGGGAGAATTTTCAAAGTCTAAACACAGCTTCTCCTTACGCAAAGCCCCCCTTCACACTGCCCCTGTGGTGGAGTCCTGAGTTCTTGTAGCTGGCACACAGAGGGCATGGCAGTGGGCATGCTAGGTGGGTGGCCCGGACACGCTGCACTCCAGTGATCTGCAGCTGGCATAAAGGCCACTAGGGGGCCATTATGAGTTGGAAGACAATTATCCCCTATTTGGGGACACTGAAGAATGGAGAGATTAAGTGATTTGTCCAAGGTCACACAAGGAATCTGTGCCACAGTTGGGAACTCCCAAGTCCTAGTCCAGTTACTTAACCACAAGGCCAGCATGGCTACAGAAAACAATGTGCCATGGACCGGACACTGAGCAAACCAGCCTTTGAAGATCCTTATGGCGGAGCAAACCTGCCTAACTTCAGGCATTTGGCCTGAAACCTCAAGCTTCTGTTTGTCTATGCCCCTTCCTGCTCAACTCCCAAAGTCTCAGGTCTTATGGCAGTGCTGCTTCATCCACTAATGAAAATTGGACTTGAGTGCCTAAGACACATAGGTGTCTTTGAAAATTTTCCTCTTTGGGTTTTTTAAATATATAAAGTGACACAGAAAAACTCAAGGGTCTTGGGAAGGTTGGTGAGATTTCCATCTTCCATTTGAGGCATGGACATTGCAGAGCCATCACAAGCGCTTCTTTCACAAAAGGACATCGCACGTCAACAGTTAACTTCCCTTTGTTCGCATACAAATGATTAAGGTTAAACGCTTGCCTGGTGACATCACCATAGTTTAAACATGCTGGATATGGTCCAGGGAACCAAAGTTATTGCTGACCCCATGGTTACTGATCTGCTTTGCAAGGAGCTGATGTCTGCTCTCACTTTATGAATTATTTAATGGGTTAAAGATTGATCAGATCTTCTTTATGCAACGTACGGCTATGCAGTCGGCAGAAGGACGTAAACATGCATTAACAAGGTTAAAGTCATATACTGTAACTACCCTGTCTGTTTTCAGCTTGCAGCTTTATTGACTTAATCATACTGGCACTGCAGCCAACAAATCATTAAATCCATTCCATTCTTTTGCTGGTTACCAGCCACAAAAACAGAGGCAGGCAAACGCTAAGCAAATCTCGAGAGGGGGTGGAAGGGAGAGGTGGGTGGAG